TTTTTTTTTTTTTTTTTTTTTTTTTTTTTTTTTTTTTTTTTTTTTTTTTAAGAAAAACCACTATCTTCTCGCCGAGTGAAATCAATGCGCGACTTCTTAACGAACCAGAAGCGTCGACCCTCTACTCACCCTTACGTTCCCACCCCAACCGACGTCTCCATCCACAAATTCCATTTCTTTTATTTCCACTGATTTTTTGTGACCATCCTTTTTTTCTTCATTTTATTCCCATTTGTTCCTTGATCCCTCAGGATCTACTTGGCCTAGCACCTACTACCCCTTCGTAGCGATTTAGCATTTTAAATGAGAATAATAGCCGTGGGAGAAACTATTGACCACCGTCTCTTATAGGGGGTGGCACGCGTTTCGACGTCGACTTAGCCTAATTAATATCCTAGGTAATTAATGTAACACCCACCTAAGTGAATCTCAGCACCCTTCCCAATCCTGTGAGAGCATTTGAATAATACTGGCCTTGCTGAATTATGCGATGCGCTTCGAGCTACCAGATATACCCTGTCAGACATAACTATACCGTATAGCACTAGCGATTACACGTGACCTAACCTAACATAAAATCAAATGCTAATCTATTCTCCATAACAATCATAATATCCTTGTAAAATTTTTTTTTACATCACTAAATATTTATAACAAGTCGGAAGCTTGTTAGGCTTGCAGCTTTCTGGTGCGATAAGATTCCCACTCTAATTAGGCAGCTAATCTTGTCTGAGGACGATCATCCCTTATCAGTCGTCCTTTGAAATACATAATTTACCTCTCATTAGAGAACGACTTTATCGATATACACAGAGGTTGGAAAATCTTAATCATTAGTCGCAGCTCTAAGAGGCCACGAATTGCAAGCTCGGTATACATATATATATTACATAGCATATATTTATATATAAGCACAACGCGTAATAATAAGCGGATCGCGAGCAAGACTTAAACCCGCTCGAATAAAATTCAAATAAACCAGCAATTAACCTTATTCCTTGACGAAGGGCAGGAATTAACGATTTATGCTAACGGCCCCGAAGAAATATGACTTTATTATACGATCCCCGTTAAATTCCAGTCCTCCCTACCAAACAACCAATCCCGCCCTATTCAGGGCGAATAAAGTACGACGCCAGGGCGTCATCCCTCTTCTGCGGCATCTGCGAGTTCATCCCCCAGCCTTAAGATCCACCGCGACAACAGAACAACCCCTTAACGCAAGTCTAATCCCATACCTGAGAATTTCACACTTAAACCCATAATACCACCAAGAACCCCACCGAAGCCCAACCGAACCGACGGGGTAGAGTGATAAACACGAAAATTCAGCGAAAGATTTATAATTTTAAAAATAAATCATTCCCATAGAAAATCAATTTCAATCGATCCTCTCAGTCCCGTATCCCCGTAATGAATAGATATCCCATACCGTCTGACCAGCACGGTTCGTTTCCACTAGGCCAGATCAAGTAGTCGGGCACTGCAAACAGTCCGGCACGGACAGTCAATCACTTCGGAATTCACGAAACGAGGACGCACAAAGCTTCATGCAAGCTTTGTGCATTCCCAATGGCCTCCATAAGGTTACGTAGACGAGTGAACCTAACGATCTACATAGGTCGCCATACTCGTATATCCATGAAAGCTTTATGTCCCGTGTAATTTATACACACTAAATCGGAAGGTTTAGCGCGAACGAAGCACACAGTACGTACTGTTCTATGACGTGTACAATATCTGTATATATGTATATATGTTTGTGTGTCTACTATACCATACAAGATAGGTTGCACATTTCTCTCTAGAAATTATAGGCTGTCTGGAACGACACGGCGTTAACCTCTGAACTTCTGAAATGGACCTGGGAACATGTGTGCGATATATATATATATATACACAAATAGCAAGTAGTAAGAGAACCGTCTACGACGTCTCGTGCCGACGTCTTTACTGACAAGAATTATCATCACGTTGGTATCCTGCGAACCCCGGCAGCTTTAATTTCGGCGTCATCCCTTAACCGGGATATACGACTCCGTAGGGGAGGTTTCTAGGGAGGAAGTATAACCGCGGTTATTTGCGTTGAAGTTGTTGTTATCATTACTCGACTTCCTTTGAAATTTCTCGAGAGCGCTCTTTAACGTTTGGGCGTACAGGCCGACCAGTGGGGTCGGCGCGAACATGTATTCAGGTACGACGCGAACGGTGGGTATACGGGTAAAGTTTATTGTGTGATATCGAAGGCTCGAAGTTTACGGTGTACGAATCGAATGAGAAATTTGCGCAGGATAGTTTCTGTAAGGAAATATGTTATTTCCGGGCTAGAAATACGAATTGCACTTTGAAATTTTTAGGTTAGTCGTGTTCCAGGGGATATAACGTTACAAGTTTGGGAATCCTGTATCTGTTAAGGGAGTAAGGGTCTGTAGTGCTTTGGAAAGGTATATAGGCACAGGAGGTGGGACGTGGATCGAATAAGAAAGTCCATCAGTCTGAGAGGCGTGCTATTCTTTTCTTTTCTTTTTTTTTTTTTTTTTTTTTTTTTTTTTTTCTTTACCCATAGGGTGATGTGAGAGAAGAAAGTTTTTAAACACTTTTCTACGTAATAGCAATGGATCGATTTATTGTCTATAACGCTCTCTTAGCTATTCAACGTTTCAATGGGGCGCGATGGTCTTGAACTCTTGGAAGTATGGCCGCTCTGTGTACTTTTTGGCAACGAAGGCTGCTTGAACTTCCCGACGGTCCAGGGGATGGTTTCTACTTTTCCCTTGCGAACCTGCCGCACTTCAGGAAGCGAAGGACCTAAGAGAAATAAGAGAAATCTACTGCAAGGCGTAATAAAGAATTCTTTTGGGCAGCTCAAATCGGTGGATAAGTTTCAAGTGCATTTACGGTTTACGTGATAGAGGCGATAGGAGGGTAGTAGAGGAGGGAATTAAAAACTTCTTCGGTGTACAGTCACTTGCAATAATGGTGACCAGGAACCATACAAAAATTATGGTCACTAACAGAGTCCATTATAGGAAAAAAAAATTTTATTCTCATTTCACCCGTTGACCCAAGTAACAGTCGTATTCGTATCTCACGAGAGAACGTATCTGCTGCCTTGTGATTGGTGGAAAAATTTTTTTCTAATACTGCATTACGTGGTACAGTGATTTTCAAATGGTTTTTCCTTCGCTACCCCCATTTCACATAAACTACAATTCTCCACCACGAACTATATTTCACGTCATTCAGGCAACACGGCTCCATTACGCTGATACTAAAATCCGGAAAACATACCTTATCTACGGTAGCAGGCAACACGCTCCAATCCTCGCAAAGTACCAAGGACAATATCAATCTCCATAACGAGATACTTTTCTACGGATCGAACCAGGGCTTTAAATCCAGTCGTGTTAAAAGTACCATAAACTCTTTAACTGATCTGGACGAAGACAATAAAAATCAAATGCACTTTGAATTTTTCATCGGTGCGATCAAAAATTACGATTGACGAAGGACCACCTCGGATTTAATACCAAAAATTTTCTAGTCCGACGTCAACTCTGCTTGTCGTATTTCCGCAGTAAAAATTTCTCAATGGTCCAAACTGAAAGAAATCAGGGAATCTGTGGGAAGAGCTTATCGGCATGGCTGGTACTATAGTTCAGTGAAGCTGATCTGGATAAGGCATGACGAAGAGGGGAGTCATTGAAGAAGATAGGATTTGACCAACTCAAAATGAAAGATTCCAGTCAGCATATAGACCACGTGGGAGAGACAAAGAATCCGAGAGAGTTAGCTTTGCTGTACGTTACGTTGGTAGCATTGTCCCTGAATATTCAGCAAGGGTTGGATTGTCGGTTTAATTGACCGAATTAGGTCTTGAATGTAGATAAGGATAGGTAAAGTCAGTCCTGAAACACCTGGAGCAACATTGTTAGAAAATATTTACAATCCTGTCTGGCCTCGTATATGCCTTGAATATAGCGGAGCACGTGGTAAAAGCGTATCGACTATATATGTATATACACAAACTATATTTATTTCAGCCATTATGAATTTACGAGACACCTGGAGAATGGATGTATCGAAAATCTCTGACCTGAAAAAGCTTAAAATCAAGTTATCTGAAGTTGGCATGAATTTATCACGAGTTTACTTGAATCTTAAAAATACGAGCGTTGACCTGTATGTCTGTAGAGATCTTTGTTGAAAAGTTACGTAACGCGTAGGTGTATCCTCGTGAGACAGGAATTTTAGATTTTCCTCAATCGACGTAACACTGTGAAATTTTGTATAATAGAAACGAGAAACGAGAAATGAATCTTCGAGACGTATGACGTAATTCAATTAATTACGAAGTTAAGGATAGACGCCAATGGATTAACGTAACTTTAAACTAACCATAACTGCGCGTGCAAACGCCAAATAATACTAATGACAGTTACGCAATTTCTAACGCACGTATTAAATTTCCTTGTTTCAGATACTAACAGACACACTAACCAGACGAGTCGCTTGCGGATTCAGGATCGCACTATGTCATTGTTAAGGAAGCCGCATCGTCTCAAGTCCTGAGCGAGAAACTTCCGGTATAAGCGTTAAGGGTGGAACTGGGATAAGGGGTGTATGTGAAACAGGGAGAAGAGGGAAGAACTTGAGGCATATATCAATGAAGACTCTCCTTGAAAGGGAGTAAATCGCTAACCAGTGTATTCGCCTTAAGGTTGAGATTCGGTGGATTTGAATGTTCCTCCCTTAAACGAATCGCGGCTGGGGTGAGTTGTAAAAAAAAAATATGACTTTCTTTGAAAGTCTATTTTTGAAGAAAATTTTGACTGACGATGAGTTTACAGGCATTTCTTAAAGTCGAATGGTACCCGTGTATTTCGATCACGTAGGAGCGATTGCCTGTATCTGAAAATCCGCATATACGGTTTAAGGCAGGGAATAAGGTTTTATTTAAATTCCGAAAATAAATCTCCAAAAGAGACAGACTCGCATTCACAGGGAACAGGTGTAGAATCCCCAGGAAACTCATTCTAACGATACGACTATAAGTATACTTTCCCGTCTGGTTACCAATTCGTGCTGTCACATATGCTCGAATAATATATCTACCTGTTAAGGGAGAGAAGTAGACGTACAAAAAAATTCTGATCGAATCCGTCGGTAGAAAATGTAAAAACTTCCTTTTTTTTGTAAAATTTTCATAAACAGCCATAAATTCGGGACGGAGTCACGCGAAGCTAAGAGAGAATGAGAGGATATATTTTTCAGGGCCGTAAGAAGTGGGTCGGTAGAACCCAAAACAGTTGACCCTTTAAAGAAGAAAGGTCAGCAGGGGGTGAAATCGTATCTGTGGGCCCGTCGTGGTGTTGTCCGCCGGGGGTGGCGGTGGCGGAGGAGGAGGCGGGGTCGGCGGAGGGGGTGGTTGCCAACGGAGGGATTTCGAAGCCCGGGGCGCTGGCCGTGGTGCCTCCTGCCTTGCCACCATCAGTTCCTCTGTTGCGGGAAGTGCCGGGGGCTGTGGCCCGGTGGTGGGCCTACCCTCATATAAAAAGCGACCAGGTACCATTTTACGTAAATCCTTAAAAAAACCTGGAGAAACGGGTGCCAAGATAAAGATTGATCAACGACCCAAAAGACTTAAGGGTTAAAATAATTTTTTCAATTCGCATCACGTAGAGGCGACTGAGACAAATTTTCACTATGAAAACTTCGCGAGGGTCGCGCGTAGTCGGCCGCCTCGTGTTAGCGTTTTGCCATTGGGACTTTGCCAAAGATTTTACGCCTCCGCGTGGAAACCCCATCAGGATGATCATCAAGGTAGGTTTCCACGCGAAGGCCGAAAGTGTGGGTGACGCTTTGCCACGAGATTACAAATTTGGATATACTCTGATAAAAAGAGCCGGGGAAGTGATTGAGGAATCTCGTTCGTGTCAAAGGTAGCGGTACTGCGTGGGGTCGGGGTGGCCGTGGACGCAGCAGAGAACGCGGGGGCGGCGGCGCGACCCTCCTTGGGTCCGGTGTCGCCCCCGCGACCTACACCTCAGGACTTCAGGGTGTTGGACCTGGACTGCGTGAGGTCGTCAACATCCTCGGCGAGAGAAATCAGGTTGGCACTTTAACTGGGGTGGGACCACCGGCAGGTGCACTGGAAAGCGACGACCCTGGGGATGAAGAAGAGGGAGCCTCGCCGAAACGGCCACCGAAGCCACTTTACAGGCGACTTATCAACTACGTGAGACAAGCCTGGACCGGCGTGAAGTTTGCACTAGGTACATTAACGCTCACCTAACTATACTAATGCATGCGCTACCATCTGCGATATGCTTTATATATGCAAAATATACACGTACCTAAATGCACTCGGCACCTTGGAAATATTTTTACCCTTAAAAAAACATCCAATGACGTCATACAAATCACAGTACCAAATCTACAGATTTACAGATTTCATTCGGCAGATAAAAAAGACAATTGCAATTAATCAAGTTCCATGCTGGTGAACAATAAACGTGAAGTTGGTCCCTGATGCATTTCCTCCATTATAAAAATGCATTTCATATCTCTGTACATCGTGGAACTGCATATGCATTACTTGTAATAGTATCGTGCATAGTATACTTGGAGTATTACTCGAGTGAAGGGTGCATAAAATCCACGTTCGAGTGCACCTATGCACTTCCGGGCTCTTGGTATTTGGTATTAGCTTTATCAGCATCCGGTTTCAGCATGGAGAACACTTGACTAGTTTCACAGGAGTGAACAGTCAGGTCGATTTGTCTCTCGATACTTGAGTGCTTCGTCTACTAGTTAGCAGCTTGAGTATCGCTGTTGGTACAAGTACTCTTAAGATACTAGATACTCTGACCATCCGTTTCTATGATATTGGCAATACTGACGTAATCACGTAACCTTCTTTCTTTTTCATCCCTGTAGTGAGCACTAGCGCCATCTGTCCTTGCTCCGCGTATCACGGTCTAGTGATAAGTAAGGAAGCTTTCTATTCCATAGAGCTGTATATATGTATATTGCTTCTAGAATATCCTCGTATCACGCAACACTTGCGAAACAGTCGTAGCTCCCACTATCCAATACAAACAAGCCCCTTCGGACGGTTCTCGTTATATTTTATCCGACTTCCGGTTCGACCATGCCTTTATGCAAATTGATAGACGATGCCTCCTGGAAGAAAAATTTTTTTCAGTCTCGTCTGCGTAACGATCCATGAAATCGAAGTGTCCAGGGTCGAAAAAAAATTCCTCTCGATACTCCTACCCCTGGGAGAAACCTTTTCTTTACAACCCCTCATATTCACACCCATATATTCATGACAGCCGTATAATCATTGTGCGCAAAAAAAAGTAGCTCCGTGATCTTGATGGGATAAATATACAGGACTCTTTGAAGAACAGAAACCAAAGGGGTATGTTACGCGTATAATAAATAAAATTATTATACACCCCCTAATGATTCAGCCGAATCGTATAATTAATTGTCGCGACTTTTCATCCCCTCGAAAACGAGTCGAAAGCAGCCTAAAATTTATTTCGCACGACACGCCACGTCATTATTAGCAATGTTAAACCAATTAAGGGGTTGTTAGATTCAAGGGTGATTACACCCACTCACCTGCCCGATAAAAACGTCACGTTCTATATTTCACCTGATTTACATAGCAAGGCTATTATTCTCACACTTATCCATTATCACCCTAAAAAAAAAAAAATCCGCAAACCATTATAACTACCAGTATTGAAAAATCAGTATGATAAAATTTTATTCAGCAAATAAAAGTGACTCCGATAGCACGTAAAATTATACAACGCAAGAAATTCGCGAACGGTACTTTTTTTTCAGGTCTCTAAACCAGATTCTACCGTTTCGCAAAGAGCATCGAATTTGCATGCTCCCAACGAGCCAAATTGTTCGCCGAACAGGGACAAAAAATTTCACGCCTTTTGCAGTGCGCTTAATGCGTGTATTGTTTTCCAACAAGTTCGAAAAAAAAAAGGGAATGGATCCAAAGAACAGAAAACTGCTGTAAAAAAAGTAAACAACCATAGTGGAATTGCGTCATGTTTCTCACGTACGATTCGCAATGCTACAGCGAAGCCATGTGAGAAAAAGTACATGGATTTCATGTAGCTCGGTACATCGACTGCATATATATATTTAAACATACATGGTCTATGGATCGGTACATATTGAATGAAATTGTCAATCGAAGTGCAACTTAGGACATCAATGGGTGCAAATCCTCAGTCCGCTCTGATTGTAGAACACTGTAGTAGAATGGATGACGTGTGACGTCATTCTGTGCCAATGCCTTTCATCCCATAGTGCAGCATCTAATACATGAAAGGGATGGCCATAGGAGTGACGTCAACCTATTTCTCCGTTACAAATAAGTATAGTGATACCGTAGCGAGGAAAATAGAAAAACAAAGATATCTCTGATGAAAATAGTTTGTAAAAAATCCTAACCCCAAAAAAACCCTAAGAAATCATCTCACGAGATCAGAGTACACTCGTGTCTAAAAATATAGTTCTCTGATACGTGGACGAGTTATCATGCTCCATATACGATTCTAGTTTACATGCAGAAAGTATATCAGTGAAAATATGAAATGAGTATCGACAACTCGAAATGCGAGACTTTCCGAGTAGCTGTTATTTCTTCATTGTGTTTCAATTTGAAACAAAAGAATTGAAATTCACTGTACCCAGCTTATCGTAGATATAACCGTGTTGTGTATGCACCTTTAAGAATTCGAATGATTTTCTGAAAGACTGATATTTTTTTTTAGACAGTACAATCTCTTTGGTCTCGTTTGTATCAGACGCTGTGTAATATTGAAAAACGAAGGCTCCAAAGTTTTCTCGTATGGTTCGCTTCTTGTTCTGCCGTCGTCTATTCCAGACGACTTCCTCTATTTCCGGTATATAAGAAAAAAAAAAAAGACAGAACAAAGGATACGACATCGAATACAATTTTTATTTGCTCTTACTGCTCTTTGCGACATTTTCAGAAACGACCGATAACAAGGACAACTGTAATCTTAACTGTCACAGAGATATCTCACTTTTCTAGAATACGACGGACGGAACTTTTTTTATCACAAAGGAAAGAAAAAGGAGAAGCGTATTCGTGATAGAAATTCAAAGGCCAGTTTGTATATTCATTAAAGTATATATAAGCCCTTAATATGTTTCGTCAACGAAGCAAGTAAATTATACGTGGCGACGTGTGGTGGCTCGACGTGCCAAATATCTTAACTGTAATATATTGTGTGTGGCTGGCATTGAGAAACTGGCGGGAAATTTGAACGAAGGTTGATTTTAAAACTTTAGTGTCCTCGGACAGTTCTAGTCGTAATTACATGTTGAAGGTGTCGCGTTGAAACTTTCTTACTGTTTTCTCTTTCCCTCTCTGTCTGTCTCTCTTTCGCAGTGGAGGATTGAGACGAGGATGCGGGAGGGTCGTCGGGCTGGGGGGGGTGGTCGAGAACTAAAAAGCTTTAGAGATTCTGACAGTTGGGCGAGAGTCCCCCCGGCTTGCGTTAAAGCTGCTATGTTACTTTGGTAACCTTTCTCATTCCTTTTTGACCTACGACCTTATTGATCACTGTCTGACCTTCAGGGTCCAGCCACTCATCGTTTAATAGGGATTTATAGCGTAATGTGGAATCTTGTATGGACCATGTAAAATGACCAATGGTCTGTCTGGTATCTAATATTGCTACCCGGATGATACAGAGTATAAAAGGACGTTATATATTTACAAAAAAAAAAAATATCAAAGAAAATGTGTAATTTTGGACATGAGAAAAATGCGTGTCTCCTTTGTCTCTGAATTGCAGCAGAAATATCGATGAGATATAATACTGTACATGGAATCTCCTTTATATTACCTCTTCTTGTTCTCGATTCAGGAACACATGTCTTACCCTCGAGTATCCTTCCGTACACGGCGTATCCTTCGGGGTCCAATGACAAGATCCTTGACAAGTTTTACGGATCCTTGTGTCCTCGGGGAAATAGCATACAGTATCGGTCCTAAGTTTCAGATAGTTGTAATTCCAACACAGCGCCGCCGGTGGGAAATGCTGGCAACACTTTAGGGGACTTCCCGAGTTCCTTGCGAGTATAAGACTCCTGGGTGCAGCTGCGGTTTCGCAGCTGAGAATGCCTTGTCTCTTTCTCGTTTGATGACCCTGAGACGTATTGGGGTGGATGCAATTGGTCGAGGGCAAAAATGGATGGCCGAAAAATGTCCTAAAAAAATGTAATTTCGCTTCCAATGCAATTTCCGGTTTAACGACGTAGATACGTGTCCTTTGTCAGGAGGAGAAAAATTGTGGCCCCAGGTCAGAGAATGGTCGGCGACTGGAAAATGAAAGATGGGAAAGAAGCGAGGGAAACGGATGGGAAAAAGAAGAGTGAAAGTGAGACAGAGGGAAGGAGAAGGAAAGCAGAGCGATACATTGAAAGTCTCAAGATGGATTCCCGAGGAGACAAATTAAAGAGTTTAGGGAGAACGTCACAGCCGTTGTCGCGACTGTCAAAGCATCGAGGCGCTTTTATCCGAAAATACTTGTCCGGCCTTTGAGATTGAGGAATCTGAAGATTTTCGGAGAACAAGGATTTTGTCAAAGGAAAGTCACGTGAAATCAAGAGGGCTAATGGAAAGGCTTAGAGGTTTACGTAGCTGGAGGATGCTGTAAAGATTTTTCAGGATCGAAAATACATAGCGGACTGTCGACAAAGCATTGGAAAAGCACCGAGTCCTGTTTTCATGTTTGCAAATTATATTCGCGTAATTCCTTTTTTTTTCTCTCTCACTCTGTACCCATTGAAAAATCGATACGCAGAAGGATTATTTAAATTGCTAATATCCGCTTCCGGGACTCCCTCAGCAATGACTCTCATATCTGTTCTCATGCGATGCCATCGGTTCGAGAATTCATGAGAATAATAATTTCTTATAAAATTCTTAATTTAAAATCTTCGTTCCTAATAAAATATATACTTGAGACTTTTGATCCGAATACAACTGTATTTTATACTGATGATAAAAAGTCCATTTTTTTCTTCTCTTCCCTTCAGACTCAGAATACGAAGAGGAGCAAACGCCAAGGTACCGGCCTGACTCTCTCGCTAGTCTCTGCAGGGCAACAAGATTCACAGAGGCTGAGCTCAAGAGGATATATCGTGGATTCAAAGCAGAATGCCCCACGGGGGTCGTACGGGAGGAAACCTTCAAGTGCATCTATTCGCAGTTCTTTCCGCAAGGAGGTGAGCTCCCTATAATTTTATTGTCTCGATATTCCATCAAGATCCGGACTCTCGGAAGGCAATTCGTGCCTGGAATAAAAATAGTTATCAGACTCCACTCGGTATATAGAGCTTCCGTCTGATCCTTAGACTGAGAATAAAGGAAGGAACAGACTGTAAAGAATAAAGAAAAAGCCGTTTAAACCGTTCGCAAAACTTTCAATCGTTACGCATACAAATCTATATCTATATAGTGCACCTTGTTTTACTGTATTGGAGGACAAGGGAGTAAATTTAACTGCGTTTGTAAATACGCACATTTTCTCCTATGCACATAGGTGGATTATTATTTTATGCACAGCATTTTTACGGAAGCCTCAAGACTGCGTTAGCTCTATGCGAATCCCTCGTAAAAGAAAAAATAGGTCTGTCAAGGAGTCGAATACGATGGGGAAGATTTACGAGGGGCTTGTCATACCCTTGTAAAAATACCTAAAATCTTTTCATGCACTAGGCGTACCAAAGTAAAGCAGTGCTTTTGTCTCTGTCGAAATTTAATAGTCACGTACGAAAATTCTTGTCGTGACTGTCCCTTCGATTCCGTGGGAAATACAATATATAATAACAGTGGGTAGTTTCGTCCAAATGACGAAGTATGATTAAATATTGGAAAGATTGAAAAAAGAATTTTTCTTATATCAACCGAAAAAGCCTTCCGAGCGTTTCCATGAAATATACTGAGCGCCTTTGACTTATGTAGATAAATAAAATGCAACCCTCCGTCGCGAAAGATCACCCTTGGCTGTATTGCTTTTTTTTTTTCTTACTTCGACAGCCCCGAAATCTCACTAGTATATTCAAAGTGGATTACCCTATATAAACATACGTGAAACAGATATAAAACGCACTCGTCTGTTCGCATTAGGCAAATCCAAAAGCCCGTAGTTACGTTAGTCGGCGTTTTTTATTTTTTTTCGTTGAGAAAAAAGAAAATATCAGCACTGCTTTGCCGGAAATTGATTGTCCCAGTGGCAATCCCTCTTGGCAGTGACTGCAATCAAAAGTACAATCAAAGCCAGACCAGTATCGTACCGCTATTATTATTATTGCTGTTGGCTACAGAGAAGCAGCAGCATCCAAAAGGAATCAAAAGGAACCAAAAGAAACATAGATAGACGTATAGAGTATATGCCGATTAACATTGGATTACACGACTGTTTTCATATAAGATCACTGATGAGCGATGACCAACACTGGATCACTGATGGACGACAGAGATCCGTGATAGGTTATCAGTTAACTTTATCATGAATTTTCATCTCATTATCACTTGATGAAAATTTCAAGAGCTCTTTTCAAATTCTGTAAAGGATTCTCTGATTCTTCGTGTCAGAGTGACGGGATGTCGGATAGGGAAACTTGGGAGAGACCTTGACGGACGATTTGGGAAAAAAAGTTTGGCGCTTTTTCGAAAAAAAAAAAAAATTAGATACAATTTAAAAGTGGATAAGAGTGGGGTGTGATAAAGGGGTATGAAAGGGGACACAGTGGATCGCTCGACTGTTCCACATAATATATAATCTCGCCTTGGCAATTGCTCGAGGCTTTAACGGGAAATAAGGGAAAGTCCTGATTGGTGGGAAAAATAAAAAGAAATAATAAGAAAGAAAGGTTAAAGAAGTCCAGGACAACAATTAATTATCAAAGTTGTGTCGTAACTTCTCTGGAAAAGAAGTATTAAGTATTAGAGGGAGGGTCCTAAGGGTATAACCTCTGACCCCCGTCATTCCTAAGAGAAAAGGTCGGATTCAGGACACAGGCTGGCTGAAGGAGGGATGAAAACGTAAGGTGTAGGTATACGTTGAACGTGGCAGGGAGGATAAGGGAATAAGCGTGGCCAGTGAGCGGGATAAGTCAACCCTACCGCAGCGTATTATTTACAGGGGTGGCTTAATTAAAACCGAATTAACCAAGCAGCGCCACTAAATTATGTCGCTCAATTAGATTTCTCGACGCTCAACGGAGACTGAAAGAAATAATATTTCTGTACCTTGATTTTCACTTTGTATAATAGAAAAAAAAAAAAAAACCTATGTATGTCCCACCCTTTTGAAGTTCAAAAAAAAATGTTCTCTATCCAATTATTCCACCACGCGATCTACTGTCTAATTCCCAGCATCCCTTCGCTACTCGCAGTGCGATAACGAATTAAGCATGTAAACTCACTTAGCTCCTATCGCCGAGAAACACTCGACCCAAAATAGACCAAAGTCATTTCGAAGCATTATCCAGGATGACAATTACAGCAAAAGATAAATTTCTCAGTCGAGTAATGTATTCTCTTAATGATGAAAAGGGTTCCGGCTCTCGCAGCATCCGAAAGATGGGACAGTTATCGGGTCCATGAAGCACTCAGAGCCATCTGCCACGTCCTTAGCACGCAATTTTGTATCCCCAGTGCCAAATGTTCCCAGCATCCCTAGCATGCACCGTAACGAGCACCATGATTTACGTTCCATTAGTATATGGTACAGTGGAAGCTGTGAAAAGGTATTTAAAAATATCCCCAAAAAGAGGTAAACTACATAGCAGCCATGCGACTGGTCTTTGTGTTTCGACTCTTTGGAGTTAAGGGATGTCAGGAAAAACTCGTTTCTAATGTAAAATATTTTATAGTCGAAACCAGCTAAATGGACTCTACGTCATTTCCGCTTGACGCGTACTTATACATGCGCAGAGAACTTCCGTTTAATGTAAAAGGTAGAAGATCCGTTATTTTCGTCAATTAAAAGTCTCACGTGCCAAGTTTCTGAAAATCGCGAGAGTCCGCACTCAAGGGTACTAAAACATAGAGTCGATATCCGACGATCGACGTCATCTTTAAGATTCGCATCTTTACGCTTTTCGAACTGATACATTTTACAACCCTCTAAGTACCCAGGAAATCCACGAAATATATTTCGAGTCGCGACGCCCTCTAACGGGGTACAACGAAGAAAGGCAAAAAAAAAAGATAAAGAGATGGTACACAAAAGAAAAATGTACCTCGTGTAGAAGAATGAATCATTTTCAACCCTTATTTGTTAGGAGTTTCCTAACAAGTTGCTCGACCCAAATAGCGCGGGGGGAGGGAGGGAGGGAGGGGGGGGTTAAGTACCAAGAAAATTGAAGTCCTTATTAAATCATATTATTCATATGCAAACGGAAAGAAATTTAACCGAAGTGAACTTTTATTATCTGTTAATATTTAAGAGATAAGAATCTTCGCGCATTACGAAAACTCGGAAACTCTTAAATTCGTTTCCCCCGATCAAATATAATCATCCATTCAGATTTACATAGCGTAAAAAAAGTTCATTCATTTATTTTCAGCTAACACCAGCCAGTACGCCCACTACGTCTTCAACACCCTGGACCAGGATCACAGTGGTTTACTAAGCTTCGAGGTGAGTCCATTGTCACACTAAACTTTTCTTTCCTATTTTTATTCTTACCTACCCTTGTATTTCTCTTTGCCCCATATTCTCTCTTTTCACAGCTAAGAGTCACTCTATATCCCCGCGCGACATCCCTTGGAAAATAAGTTATACCAATGTAATGCCAGCAACCCCGCCCCGAGTGCTCGCGTACCCTGTACACCAGTCTCTTAACATAACTTGCAAAACTGCCTCGCCGAACTTTATCCACTTTCCTCGAACAGAAACTTTGAAAATATTATTAGAAAACGTGCGACTTCGACATAGACAACTTCGCTGCTATGCATAGCTAAAAATATTACCGTAAAATTATAGGCGCGCGTATAAGAGGCTATGACAATATGAAACTTGAAATATAAAAAACTGTTCAAAAGGCATAAAAATTAAAGGCATTGTTTAATAGTAAAATTGAGAAGAATTGAAAATTCCAAAATTTCCCCACGCAATCAAACACGTGGGCTACACGAAGCCAGATGAGTTTTGACAGGGCTGTCAAATTTATAAATGTTACCATAGACAGGTATAAATGTCTAGTTTGGTACATGGTCGACCGAGACCCACGAGTAGCTAAGGGAGTACCGAGTACAGCCGAAGTTTGCCGAGAATGTCCGAAGGAAGCTTATACAAGAACCTTCGCTGCGAGAAGGACCTATCGTTATTCCGGATGCTGGGCTCTTTGTCCAATATTTTCTATACGTGTCTTGTTCATTCGAAAAACCCTTATCCGCCATCTTGGAAACTGTCTTTGTAGGTGATATACGGTACAATAGATTTACCCTGGTAGTAAATACGTCATCGGCCAAAAAGAGGGTTGCGCCTTCGTCTCATTCCCTTGAATCATAGTGACATCCGTTAATTGAATGAATTCAGGTCCCAAATCGTGGACCCAAAATTTGCCCCATTAATCTTAGACTCTATCTTTTTTTTTTTTATAACGATTGAACAATGTATCAGGGCGGTGAAAAGCTTGGAAGGAAAAGTTAAAAGTTTGACTGAAAACGTCATTCCACTTACGTCGTAAAATGAGGGACCATCCATTATTGTCGCTTGATTTTCTTGTTTAACGAGCGCCCGAGGTCGGCTGTGACGAGTTCGAGTAAACGATCTTGTAATTAATGAGGAATTCTTCGTGAAGGTTACTTATGTATTATATATACCAAGGTATATGTACCGTTTGCCTTCGCCATTGTCACACCAAGTGTAGAAGATTGTAGGGCAAAAAAAGCTCCGTTCTCATGAAGCACAATGGCGACAGCTACTCTCCAAGAAATAAAAGATCGTGATTAATGCTAATTAGCGAGCAAACATCGACCAAGTAAACCAATAATGACGGAGGTTAATTTTACTGGTTATTGGAAATTAACGCAAAGGACTCAGCCAGCAACCGGCACCCTCGCGATTCTCTGTGACGTAATCGATGGCCGAGACAGAGTGGAAAAAAAGGCTTGGAAAAAAAATTTGAAAAATTTCCTCATACATTTCTCAGCGGGACAGTGAGTAATATAAAGTAATGTAATTATACCATACTACTGCCGGGGGGGACTCTGTACTTTATATCTGAAGTGCAGTGTAATTACGAGTCTCGGTCCAGAGCCACACTTTGACTACAGGAATAGGAATGAAGATACACTCGAGACACAACGGTTTGTATTAAATAGACTACAAATGGTGGAGTAGATTCGAAAAGAAAAATATCTAGATAGAAAAAAGATTTATAAAGTAGCAGGTAACGTTTTATCGTGCTAGATATTCCTTTTTATCTTTTTTTTTTTTATTACTACTTGATGGTATACTCCGTCGGCTATATTTATCTTATTAATCCCTGCCTGGTTACCGCGTAAGATGAAGCCATTTAGTAAATGGTATAGGGCTATCTCATTTAGGAACCCTGGAGACGTTTTCAAGATGCGCGAATCCTCAACCCGCCTTAAAGAACAAAAAACAGGACAGGGCAGCCAACCTTATCAAAAAGTCATGAGGAACCCTGGGATCACCCGATCGGAATGACTATTCTGCCTTTCATAGGGCAGTAGGGGTGTCTGTATTGGGAACGAGGACGAACCCTGACTTCTTCGGAAGGGTAGTTCTCTCTTGTTACTCTCTTCGCGAAATAAAGGTTTAAAGGTCTCGCAGAGGGTCGCCGTGGGTTAAATATTTGATAGGCAAAAGTCGGTCAGAGGGAAGTCGTGGTTATCGGATCGGACACGATAACCTCGGAGGGTCGCATTGCGCCAGAAAAGGGGTCGAAAGACTAGGTCCTACCCCATACGTTTGCCAGTCCTCTCTCTCTCTCTCTCTCTCTCTCTCTCTCTCTCTCTTGTGCGTTCGCGTCGTCAAATGCAAATGGACGGTGGTGATTCGGCCTCGTGTATTTCTGTATTTCTGGGTGAACGAGGGTCGGACACAAGGAGGGTACGGAAGAGAGAGAAAAAGAGGGAAAGAGAAAGAAAAAAAAAGATATAGGGATAAAAGAGTAGCGGTAAGAAAAATTCACAGTCATTTATATTTTTGGGGGATGTTCGCCAGGAGGGTGAAATTTAATGAGTTGCAACTATACGCAGCGTTTAATCAAGCACGAGAACCTACTTCGTAGTATAATCCCTGGAGCTCAAAACTAACCCCCCTAAAACAACCCCTATATAAACGCACGAGTAAAACGCTGTAAATTTTCTACCTGTCCCTACGCGTATACAGATATACGTTCGCTTCTATTTCCACTGAATTTCAATCGCGATAGGCCACGTGGTTACAAAAAAAAAAGGGTTAAACTCAAAGTCCCCTTCGTCCCTCGGCCTAACAAGGGATGAAAAGCCCCGACTTAATTTACGAGCTTTCGCGCTTTCCAGAAAACGGCGACGCTCGACGACCTGCGTTTCCCACTTTCTACGCACTTACGCAATATCGATAGTGCTTTTACGCATGTCATGAATTCTCATCCCCTCTGTTGAAATCCCACCTGTTACCCCCCTTTACCGACTTCGGCGACCTACCCTCAAACTCCCGGAGACCTACCCAATCTCCATCCGCTTTTCCCAAATCGCATTCATATATCCCGCGAGATCCGCTACACCTTTCTTCAAAGCCCAGAAAATTCTACAGGGTGTCCCGCAAGTGCGCACGGATTCAGTTCCCTTATCGATTATCGGTGACGTTGCAGCACCTTTCCAATATTGGAATTATTCATTAAGACATACCAAGGGTGGCTTGCGCGAGGCTCCAGCATCGCGTCACTTTACGCTGAGTCAATGAGAACGCACTCAATACGTCAGCACTGGAGGGTAGCAAAAGCATTTTTTTTTTCGTCAAGCAAACATAGAAACAGTCTTATAGCGAGTTAATGGTAAATACTAGGACCATTTCGTACAAACAACCCCTGTTGATTTAGGTGCTCGCGATTGCACTGAGTAACGAAAGACACAGCAGAGTCCTAACAGTGACTTTACACAGCGAAGAATTCGTACCCACTTAAGCCACCGGCAAAACTTTTCTCGATTCTCCTCGAGAATATCGACCTACGTAACCACCCCCTTAACCAGGTAAGGGCGCAACCTCACAATTTTTCACTTGGCAAAAGGGGTGTCCCATAAATAAAGATATTCCAAGGCATATATATATATATATATAGTCCTAAACCGTGATAACCGTAAACGGGGTAACTATCCCAACACCCACCGAGACCCTCGACTACTCGATCAGCTGCAATAAAAATTTTTAATTACGTCATTATAGAAGCCTTTACCATATTTTAGTCGAAACTTCAAATCATAGTCACAACTCACGACCCTTCACCCCTTTCGGTATAACAACACCCGTATAATTATCCCAAGATTAAAAAAATGTTATACAACCTTTACTTTATAACGATTACTCACATAAAAAAAAAAGGCGGTTATCCCTAATTCCCCGGGGAACGTTTAACGGCGAATCTACTTCACCCCCACGGGGATTTGTTAATAAATAATTACAGAACCGGCTAGCAGAGCCACTATCCATCCCTCCTGTGTAGAATTACCAGACGCAAGAATGCCCAGATTATGCTCAGCCGCGTCCCGTCAAATCAAATTACCGGCGAACAACCCTTTAACGAAATTCGAACTTGAGCCTCTACATGAAAACGCTCTCTTCGCTCATTGGCTTGGCTTCGCCACTTAACCGTACACACAGCACGTATAGATCGGTCTAACTACATATATATACACAGCACAGCAGTAGACAGCAGCAAACCTATGCAAATTACTTACTCGTTCTGTTCTGTTTGCCGCACGATTTACAGCTACTGCTACTCCTGGTACGTTGAAGGTATAGTTGATGCCAGTAGCTTAGATACATCAGCATCCATAGGAAACGCGCTCGTCAGGGGATGAATTACAAACCGCCTAAACAGAATAAGTAGAGAAATTAAAAAATACACCTTACTATAAAGGTACCTTCACACATTGTTTACCTGTCACGAGTTAACATGTGTTTGCAGTTGCATTAGCTATTCCACTTCCACATTCAATTATGAAATAACAGCCGGTGACATGAGATAACTTCTGGGTAAAATTGCCGGTCAACAAAGTGTTGATAACGTGTATAGTGATTTTGATGTGACGTGTATTTGATATTGGAAGTGTTAAAAAAGAATTTCTGGACCACTGCGTGTAATTTCTGTAGAAGAAAAAATTTTGGATAAAACGTTTGTGTAAATTGGTTACTGGCTACGTGAATTATAAAATTTTTGATTAGATATGCCAATATGCTGTATCTGTTTACAGCGCTGCGGCGCTCTAGGTATTTCAATGGCACGCGAAAACGCGCGTGTTGCCCTGGTTCATTAAAATTGTCAAACCGCTGACTTACATTCTAATAACTGACAGCAGAGTGGCGTGTTACGCGATCAAAAAGCCACGTAAATGTTCATTAGCTAATCGGTCACGCAACGCGTTATCCCACGCAAGAATCAACAATCGTTCGGTACGGGTCAGGCATTTTTAAATGAAACGTATACAAGCTTGTCCAAGGAGTACTTATTTACGGATATAGAAACAAGATATATATTGGCTGATAAGACCTCCATATTCGTGATACCTGTGACGTGTTTCGCTAAGGGCTAAGATCAACGGACGAATATGGGATATGTCAAAAGCAGCTATACAGTGTTAGATAGGGTTAGGCTTAACTTTTGGGATAGTTTCTCAAGCTTTTAGCCAGGATAAAGCAGCCACAAGGTGGACGCTAGGTAACCGCAAGCTCGCACGGAGCGTTAAGCTCCTCGATTGTGGCAGCTAAGGCCAGGGTTGGCTCTGGGTAGCCCAGCTTCCACGTAATAGGCCGCCAATAAGCTCATCGGAATCCCGTCTCTGTGGAGTTCGGTCAGGTTCGGCATGACTCGGTAATTATCGGAGGGCACTACGTATTCCTCAAGGTTTTCGGCACTTGTCATGGTCACGTGGTTCAGTGATCATGTTTGATAATTATATTTACAGACAACTTTAATTTTTCCTTTATAACACTGTATATAGATATAATGGTAGTTGAGGGTTGATTTATATATACCGAGTGGGTGGCCGCTTTGTCATACCGCAGCAAAAAAAAATGACAAATGGATAATATCAATGGGTGGGTATTACAAAATACAGAATGGATCAAAGGTTGTGAGACGTTCTCCATTCCATTCGAAATTGGTGTTAGGGATGTGAAATGGAGGACTCTGGAAACTTTAGATCCCGGATGTAAGTAAGATTAAGTGTTGCCAAGGGCGATGTATGCCCGGCTTAGCGGTTGAACTAAAATTTATACATCAGAAGGTTTCGCATGGGAACACTCTGTAGGGTTGAATAGATATATACATTACGCTACTTACACTCCCTTGTGCACCTTCCACCTTTTCAACCACCGGGAATATCACTGTGCTTCCCATCTACCAGCAGTCGCCTTTAGAGCCAACGGGTGTTGGTTTAACGATAACTTTTGCGGTTAGAAGGAAGGATACCATTTGGCTTTTGAAACTTTATGGACTCTTCCTAGATGTATCCATACACTTGACACTTGAAGTACTTCACATATTTTTACCACAAAACTGAAAACTGTACGTAATAACGTAATATAGTTCAAATAAACTGCACTGTCTCAGTGCGACTGGTTTGTCAACGCTTAACGCGTAGTACCCAACGTCCGCCGCCAGGGGGGCGAATTCCTTTGTGTTATTTATAAAACTGTCATACCCATATCTCTCATCCACCGGTGGTTGTTCCTAATAAGGAAATAAAGCCGAGTATCCATGAGAGAGAGAAAGAGAGATATATATATCTCATCCACTCGTCCTTCTGTTTTACCGACTCGCATTCTCCAACGTATATATTCATTTAGTATGGGCTCCACCTATCCCGAGCCTCAACTACTATCCACTTTCATTCCTTTACTTTGGCCAGACGCAATTTGCCGCGCTAACAGCCTGGGTCGACATGCTTTTTGATCCCAGTTACTAACCGAGTCCCGTCGTGTAAACACAACGACCCATCTCCACGAATCGAGTCAAAGGGAAGCTTCCCTTTTGTTCCCGACAATTGCGCTACGTGATTTCACCTCGCTTATTTCATTTTTATGCCGTTTCTTTACCTTCCTTTTCTTTTTCCTCTTCTGTCCTGTAGTACACTGCCACTCCAATATTTCTCTTGTCGTACCTTCCACGATCTTATGGCCACTTGGTTCTTTATCGGAAGGAACGAGAGAGCTAGCTCCCGTCTTCCATTTGTCTCTTCTCACTCTTTTATAACCTTTTCGAGACGTATACCTACCGCTGGCACGTATGGCAAAAACGCGTGGATTCATGGCGTCAATATTTTCACGGACTCCGGCGGACTCTAAACGTCAAAGACAAATTGTGACAGAGCTTTCGTAACGGCAGGCGTTTCCCGTTAAATATCATCGTTTATTTCGCGGCACTCGCTGCTACGTATGGATTAACTTGGAGAATTTATGGACGGACGCCATGATACGTTTCGGCAGTTCGTACTCGTCACTCCTGGACTTCCTCACTCTTGGGGTCAACGGCAGTCGGATGCTCGAGATTTAGGTCAATCTCCAAAGCTGCGAATGTCAGTCTGGCTTAGTTATGGATTTTCGAGCATATGCATCCATTTGACCGTATCGAACAATGATTTTTATGAAAAATTCATTGTAGAACTGCGGATACTGTACTTCGCTGATAATACGATAGGGTTAGCCTCGTCTTGGTGACAGTCGAAAGACACGTGACCTGTTTCCGAAAACTTGCATGCATCCATTTGACCGTATCGAACAATGATTTTTATGAAAAATTCATTGTAGAACTGCGGATACTGTACTTCGCTGATAATACGATAGGATTAGTCTCGTCTTGGTGACAGTCGAAAGACACGTGACCTGTTTCCGAAAACTTGCCTAATTTACGTACTTATCAGGAGAACTAGGAACAGCGACTTGGAGTACTGTGGGAGTTATTACTATTATATTTGCATACGGAAATATGAGAAATTGTTGATATGTACTTTCTCTTATCTCTCTCCTTGAATCTCTCTTCACGCTATGACTTCAGTCTGCGAATTAGCTATAAACCAACAGCTATACCTACCTAATGGTGAACTGACAGTAAAGTTTATTTAGCCTACATGCTATTTATTATCAGTTTCGTTATTAGTCTCATAGTTACTGTGCAATTAAATACAATTTCCTGACTACATTCCATATTATTATGTCATTTCGGTCAGCGTTCTATAAATTCGTAGCATCGTTCCTAGCCGTATCCGATGGAACGTGAATACACGGTGAATTGAACTAGTCAATAAATTTCCGACTGACTGATAAACGCAAATAATCAGCAGGTCTTCCTATCAATGATATATAATATCCAAAAAGTTTCCGTTATTTACGTGAAAATAGAAGGGTTTAAAAAATAGGAAAAAAAAGACGTGTCTCCGGTTGAAACCGCCCGTATTCAATTATTTTCGAGTATCCAACTGAAAACACAAGTTTACGCATCAGTCGCGTAGCCCATGCCAGTTGATACAACCAATAAATATCTACATATGCCAGAATGAAACAGATTGGAGTCCAGCTACATCCAGTATTAACCCCTATTTTGACTCCTTCCATGTTCTGGTAGAATCCGTAAAAAAAGGATTTAAAGGAAAAAATAAATTTCCCGAAAATGAGTAAACCAAATTTATTCTGAATTTCAGGACTTCGTGATGGGTCTGAGTATCCTCTCACGTGGATCAATGGACGAGAAGCTGCGCTGGACCTTCTCGCTCTATGATATCAACGGGGATGGTTGCATAACGAGAGATGAGATGACTGATATCGTAACAGCGGTTTACGAACTCATGGGAAAGTTTGCTGATCCTAACCTGGACCACGAGGGTGTACGCGATAAGGTCGATCGGATGTTTCAGGTAAAATTTCATCACGAGAGAAACATACTATAGCATTAACACAGACAACATTAATAATAAATATATTTACAACGTTTTGAATTTTCATATTCAATTATTTTTTATATCTTCGTTTAAGGGGCGACAAAGAAAAATTCAACGTAAGCGCTCTCTCGTTTTGAAAATTGAAAAAACACATGTTCATCCGTCATTTTCTTAAAAATATTCGCACTACCATGATACTCTCGAATAAGAAAACATGAGTTTCCTCGATATTGGAAACTCACTGCGCTCGTATAAGGTCCAAAATAAAAAGAGAAAGCGCACGCCCCGGAAATCACGAACCACGCAGAAATCAAATCGCGAGAAAAATCCATCACCGGAGGATCCTCGTGGAAGTGGAATACGTAGCAGCAGAGATCAGACGGGTAAAATACGTGACCAGGAAATGACGACGTCGGCAACGGGAAAGAGATTTTCTCAAAAGCTATCATTGGATTCGTATCCTTCAAACTGGGAAAAATATTTACACGAGAAATATAGCCCTCGTAACTTTAATAA